CTGCAATGAAACAAACATGCCGTTCGTGAGTAGATGCAACGCAACAAAACACAACAAAACACAACAAAACACAACAAAACACAACACCACACAACACCACACAACACCACACCACACCACACCACACCACACCACACCACACCACACGAGAGAGAGAGAGAGAGAGAGAGAGAGAGAGAGAGAGAGAGAGAGAGAGAGAGAGAGAGAGAGAGAGAGAGAGAGAGAGAGAGAGAGAGAGAGAGAGAGAGAGAGAGAGAGAGCTACCGTTTCATGGTTTAACTCAAGAGACAAGACAGAAGAAAGAGATCTTAAAAGTCTGTCATCAGGGTAAGCCTTAGAATCGATATATGCTTCCTCAAGACAAGGCATGTTATTGACCAAGCAATAGTCTCCCGAAGAATCTAGGATGTGGAGGTACACTAATGCAGGAGTATCAATAACCAAGCATCTACCAGTATCTCCTACATCACCAATGTTCAGACCTTTACCATACCATAACCACCATAAAGAAGGAACTTTCACCGTGAACTTTTTCACATTGTCATCGTTTTCCCGGCTCACAAACAGAGCCTTGAGAACAGGGCAGCTCGATAAAAACCTTAGGACAGAGTCTTCGTCTTTATAGACCACAGAGTAAAGCTTGAGTAATCTGAGGGATGTGAGACAAGAAGAAGAAGGGAAATCCACAAGAATCTTATCGGAGAGAGTCAGTGTCACGAGAGATTCACATGAGTAAAGCCTGGTGGGCAAGCTAGTAGGATCTGCAGACCACACGAGCTTGATTTTTAGGTCAAGCACGCGGCGATCAACAGCGTTTTCAACCCACTTTCCAACATTAACATCAATAGGACATCGTGAACCGAGTTCCACACATAAGCTGTCGATTACAGGTGCCTTATGGAGTTTCAATGAATTTTCAAGAAACCACCAAACGCTCTTTTGGCTTTCTTCCTCATCCTCGTTGTCTTTGTATTCAAGTGTAGGTACCATCGTCCAAATAGAGAGCCACCGTTTTGACAGAAACATGGTAGCAACTGCATCTTTTGTCGGGACAAGACTCAAAATCCTTATGAGCAAATCGTCCGGTAACTCACTAATCCTGCCTGTCTCTTCCAATATGGCTTCTGACATCTTCACGACGCAAAACCCTAGGAGAGAAAGGATTTGGCGTCGAAAACAATAAAAGAAAATCGTTGGATATTACTTTTTTGTTTTTTGTTTTTTTTTGGGATATATATAGTTATTACTTCATAAATAGCACATTTCTTTTTTTTTTTGTTATTTTTCTTTTTTTTTTTTGGACAGATAAATAAATACCGCATTCTAAACTATAGTATTTTCTTCTTCTTCTTTTTTTAAGAGTACAAGATCTAGTTAGGTCCCATAAAATAGTGGAGAATGGAAAAAAAAATTACTAATAAAAATTTGGACGAATCGAGAATGATTTTTAATTAAGTCAAGAGAAGTTTTGAGTCAATAGAAATAGAATACGGAGGAAAATAAGATGATAACTAATTGGTGAAAATACATCCTAACCACACCTAAGCGTTTAAAGACTGGGACAATCGTATACAACATGAAGTTTTTTAGGTGTAATACTATAAGAAATTAATTACTACAAAAGGTTACTAATAAACATTTGGACGAATCGAGCTTCTCTACCCTCTAATGTTTTTTATCAAGTCATGAGAAGTTTGAGCTGGTAGAATACGGAGGAAAAGAAGAAGATAATTAATTGGTGAAAATACATTAACCACACCTAAGTGTTTAAAGACTACGACAATCGTATATAAACTGAAGTTTTTAGGTGTAAATTTGTAATACTAAGAAAACTTGTTGTAATCCATTATTACTCAAAGGTAACCCTAGATTTTCAAAATATAGACAATGTTGTACGTAATATTCAAAATAAATATGCAACTTCGAAGTTTATCAAAAAAAAAAAAAAATTCTTGTGTGTGTTCAGCTAACACTTGTTATATTGTTTGACTTGGTGGATTAAAATTTCCTTAATGTCATATCGAGTAAGTAGCATGGCGTTGTTCACTTGTTCATGAAGCCGGAGACAATCCTGCTTCAAAAAATTGGTCAAAATATATGATCATTAAATACATAAAGCATTACAAAAATATTGAGAAAAAACCATAACAAATATATTTTTAGCGCAACTAGCTAAATTAATGTTGGATCTAAGTTTGACTTCACTGCTACGTCTGAGAAAACATATGATTTATGCTTTAAGATCTGTTACATGCATGCATGCAACATCAATTATGTCTTATGTCTCTTTGGTTCTAACGGCTTATAAAGTGTGTGACATATCTCCATGTGACTCTGAAGGAAGGGATTCACATTGTCATTCTTCTTTCGTATAACGCACAAAATCTCACGAATTTTTTAAGTAAAATACATTTGATTTATTGTAAAAAAGGATTATACAATTCAGGATCTAGTTATTGCTGGTGTGGCGAGAACTGGTGGAGGAAGAGGGTAGGATGGCCGCTTGCCGTCGATGAAACTTCATCGGTCTTCGTCTCGGAGGATGATGCAAGCTGGGAGTAGGATGATTCATCTCCTAACGAAGATGAGAGTGCCATTGACAAGCTTCTTCCTTCTTATCTTCCTGCTATTGCTCTTGTTCTTCGAGTAGCCAATGATATTGAGAATGTTAACCCAATGGTCGCTTACTTCTCTATGATTTTTTAACCTTTTTATAGATTTATAATTCACCATATCTATGATCATATTGTATTATTTTTGGATGCTTAAAGTATTTGATGTATAAAATAGAACTAGATTCTACCCCGACGAGAACTATTTTTAATTTATCAAATTTTATAATATAATTTATGTTTTTGTTTTTGTTTAGATATAATTTTTTAATAAGTAATAAATATTTTTTTTTCTGTTTCAGATCGTTTCTTATAAATTCCTTTCAGTAGCATCCAGAACCACTTTGTTATGTGGTTGGTATTTTGGCTCGTAATTTTCAGGGAGCTCACCACATGGCAAGCCGGTGATGTGTCCAAACTCTCTCAACAACTTGCTAACAACTTGCCTGGTCAGAAGATCGTGGATAAGCTTACACGAGATTAGGCACCTAGCTGCAGAAAGGTAAAATAAATGGCCAAAACAAAAGTTCCTAATTGTCTCGAACTGTGGTGTATCCCTCAAAACATCATGGGTAAATGTGTCTAGCTTGGAGTAAACGTTGATAAAGTGGGAATCTGTATGTCGCAACAACCGCGACAGTAAATGGTTATCTCATTTCAATTTGGGTTCTGAATCTGCAAGTAAAAGTTGATTAATGCTCGAATAAAGGAAAATTATGACCATAAAAACCATAAACAAACGGAAATGTCTAAATGCCTAAACGAAGGAAGCTCAGTTCGCCGGTTAAGCATTTACCTGACATTTCGGAAAGATGTGGAATCACAAATTTCAACCTGAAATGAGGAACAGACACGGGTCATAGAAGATGACTTCCAATAGAAAGAGAGGAGCATTTTGGAAGAGGTTTTTCGTCGGAAATTGGAGAAAATTGGAGATGAATTTCTACGAGATTTAGGTTACCGGTGTAAATTTGATGGCACCTAGGATTTCTACAGGATTTAGATTTCTATAAATGTATTTACAGAGACACGGTAAAGGAGAAAGTAAAGATGTTCTCTCGCAAGAGTAAGTTGAATTAAGGTAGACTTGCTTTCTCACAAGAGTAAAGTGTCTGAGTAGCAAGCAGTGTCTTTTCTTGTAATATGAAAGTCAGAAAGTTTTTTTTTTCTGTGTAATTTATTCATACCGAAAACTGGTTTGGAGATTGCTCTTGTCTTCTGAGTTTCTCTCCTTGTTATACTCTTTTGAATTACTTAATGTGTGATACTGATGAAATTTTTAGTATGACTTGCATCAAAACCTCGTGGAGTATTGATTAGCTTTTGTAATATTTTATTTTTTTAAAACATTTAAACAATATATGTATAAATTATATTGCTATATATATTATTGTAGCAAATAATTATTAGATCTTATGATTTAGTTAATAAGACTTAAAACCAACAACCAACTTACAGTACATAAATATTAGTAAATTTTAGGAAAAATAAAGTTTATATCTTTGTCGAATTCCAGTCAAGTACACGTTCCACCGGTTTATCATAATTTCTTGTGAAATAAATTCCATCAATTCTGTGACGTAGTTGATTATGTCTTCTTATGGAAGCTTGTCGATATACTTGAAGTTCATTAAAATAATACTCTTTGTCAGTCTGGAAGCTTAAATCACAAACCCATCTTAATCTAAATCAAATCCTGCCCCTGAATCATAAAAGGTACACGTCCAATTAGAATTGAAGTTATTTAAAGTCTTGACGCCAGTATCGTCGTCCAGGTTACTACGGCAATGATATTGGAGATGAATACCAGAACCAAGTTGGTTATGAACTATTATGCGATTTGGCTTTGAAGCTTCATACAATCCAAAAAACAAGAAAAAAATTAACATAAAAACTGTAGAATTATTCATTTTTTTGTTGTATGAGAGATAGTTTAAGAAGATCATTATTAGTATATGATATTTCTATATCTTTTTTATGTGTGAAAATGTGTTACTTTAGATCTCCTATTCAATTTTTTCTTTTTGACATAGATCTCCTATTCTATTTGTTTCTATTCTATGTGAATAATAGGAAATTTATCAATTTGATTATGGAAAGATATTTTGATTATTTTATTATCTCTTTCCTCTTAAAATTAAAATAAAACTGCTATGAAACTTTTAAGCTTTCAACTTGATTTTTGAAAGATATTTTTTGATTATTTTATGATTTATTATATAATTCAGAAATTAGGTTTTGCAAACTTTTAAGCTTTCTTTTTTTTATTATGTTAATTGGTTTCTCAATGTCCATTATTAAATCTTGTTTTATCCTATTTGATTAACTTTGGCTTTTAGGATAAATTTATATTTATAATCTTAAAAAGTAAAGTTGTTAAAAAAAAAAGAAACCAAAATTTGAATTTATCCTTAGTTAATAAAAAAGGAAAAAAACTTTTTTACCATTTAGATTAAGGAAATTAAAAAAAACTAATTTCAAAAGAAAAATAATTTTAATTTCTCATGTCCATATAAACAATTTGATAGTATGTCTATTACATACCAAAAATGCAAAGTTCATTAATCATTTCCAAAGCTATTTACTGCATTTACTTCATAAGGTACCTTATCAAATACTTTGTTTATTTTTGAGGGTGATTTATTTTTTTTTCGTTTTAATTTTTTCATAAACTATCAAATATCTCATTATAAACCCGCATATATACAGGTATTAATCTAGCCGAGTGACATATCAGCAATAATTTTATCCATTAATTAACTTATTTAATACTTTATAACTATCTCATACTAAATTTTAACAAATTATATTGTGTCGTTTGTACTTAACTATCTCATACTAAATTTTAACAAATTATATTGTGGCCAGGTAGTGGTACTAAGGAAACATAACCTAAAATGTACGTTATTATTGATATATGTGTACGTATGTGGAGAAAGTAACATATTTCTTTTCAGAGTGTAATAAACATGACTTGAATTCTAACTCGATATTGACGCAAAGAAAAAGGTATGTAAAATATTTATCTTAATATATATATTTATATTAAAAATTTAAATTTAATTTAAATATATAAAAATTATATAATACAAGATTTTGTAAATGCAATAATATGTTTTTCATGTGTTTTAAACTTTATTTTCAAATTAAAAATAAAAGTAAATTTTAATGCAAGTGAAAAAAATATGAGACTGATAAGTTAAGAAGTTTCAAATAATCTTATATAAACTCTAACTAATAAAATTATAAAACACAAAAAATATTTAATAAACGATTAAATAGATAAAAATTATAAAAAATAATAGTAAAAAAAGGATGTCCACATAAAAATGTTATAAATAGTTTTTTTAAATAAAAAAAGATGGAATCAATAATAAATAAGCCAAAAAAATTAAAAAGGTAAATTGAGAAAGTTAACAAGTATTTTATTGTAAAATTTACAAGAATAAAAAGAATATGAAAATCGAAAAACAAATAAATATTCCTCTCTGATATTTAACGTATATTTTTAAATAAATTATTACGTTTTTATACAAAAATTAAAATAATAGATTTTACGTTTTTTATTATTTTGAGAGAAATTAGACTATTTGACACAGTTAATGTAGAAGAGATTAAAAATAATGTATCATCAAAAAGAAAAAAAATATATAAATATTTTAAAAACAAAAACATTAATAGTAAACATCTATTATATTAAAACAGAAGCACTTTTAGTATTTGTTTCCAAACACTCCCAAAATTTTAATTTTTTATATATATATATAAATTTAATTTCGAAAATTAGATATTAATTTAGACAACTAAAAATTTCCTTAAATATAGGTTATATCTATAGTCTATAGATATTAATTTAAATAAACTTCCTTAAATATATGTTAGATTTAATTTAACATTTGAAATTTAAATAAGATTTTCAGAATAATACATATGATTAACAAATATCTTATTATTTTTTTTTTAATCATATTCTATCAAATTAAAAATTCACATATTGAAAATAGATAAATATTAATATTATATAATAATTTGATGGGACAAGTTAAGTTTTTTTAATAATTCTAGTTTTATGCGGCTTAGGTTATCAAAGCATGCAAGATATTATGAGAAAATTATTTCAAAATTAGTAAATATTTATATTATAAAGTAATATAAACGGACGTTAGAATTATGGTTTCATAATCATGGTCTTTTTCGGATTAATAAAATGAACGAGTTGGAAATATATTTTTATAATGACGATCACTTTTTGATTAATAAAATAATCATATTAAAATTATGTTTTTATGATCATGGTGGTTATAATAATACAGAAAAAAAAAATTTTATCTAAACTAAAAAAAAATTATATCACTTATTAAAAATTATATTTAGAAAAAAAACATAAATTAAATTATAAATTTTGATTAAAACAAAATTCTCGTACGGATACACGGGATAAAATCTAATAAAATTTAATACAAATATATTATTTAAAATATAAATTAAAATAAGATTTGCGCATACACTTCTCTCATAGGTAAGATTCTCTCCTAGTATAGGTAATTTACGAATAGAGCCGAGTTCGAGAAGAAGATTTTCACGATTTTGATTGAGAAAAAATAATCAAAAAATCAGACATACTTGATTTTGATTGAGAAAAAGTAATCAAAAGATCAGACATACTTTTCGCAAACACAGTTTCATTTCATGACCAGCAATGTTTAATATTGTTTCAAACAACCTCAGTGATTAACTCCACGAATTTGGTCTCTCACACAAAGTGCCTCAAACCATTTTCAGTTTTCGAGGTACTTCTTCATTAGTGAAACACTTTTCTACATTAGCTCAAACCAATTTATATATTCTGAGGTTCCATACTAGAGAAACACTATTCTACAAGCCATGTATTAAGCGTAACACCAAACGAAATCATTTGATAATTTATCCAATCCCTTTGGAATGAGAACACCGTCGAGATCAGTGTATTGTGGAACAAAACAACTATCACTTTCAAAAAAAAAAAAAAATTAATTCAAGTTGAAGCAATATTACCTACTATATGGAATCAACTAATAATTCAACTAAATGCATAAACCACGTGAAACCAGCTTCTGTGTATGAATTAACTTCAATACAGCAAAAAGCATAAACAGCCACATGAATCGATTCTAAGCTCTTCAAAAACAAGATTCCAAAAGAGTTAAAATTCAAAAAGCAATACTCAATAGGTGCAGCAATCTTCTACATAATGAAAATAATGTCTTTCTCAGATAAAAAAAGAAGAAGCATAAACCAGCCACATTAACCCGTTTCAGCTCTTGAAAAAGTGAAGAACTTTGGAACATTATATAAAAAAGTAACTCTCTCAAAACAACTCTTAACATTTTACCATAATCAGGCTTGATCTTCTGGTTTCTTCTCCTCTGTAGCTTCATTAGTAGAAGAAGCTCCATTAGCCTCCGCTCCTCCTTCAGTGTTATTCTCCTCAGGTGGCTGAACCTGTTCATCCTCAGGGAGAGGCTCTTCCACATAATCGTTCTCAAAAGCATCAGCGGGAACCTCATAAATCCTAACTTGTGGCTTAGATGGATCCTTCACAAGAACATACTTTCCTTCACTCAGCTTCATACACAGATCAACAATCGACTTCACAATCCCCCACATGTTGTTAGTGTTCAGATTGATCTGCCCTGCGAAATCCTTCGGCTTATACCCCAAAACCGATAGTATAACATGGTTAAAATGATCACGAGGATGAACCCTCGAGACAAAACCAATCTTCATCATATCCGCATTAGCCAAAAGAGCCTGTGCGGTCCACTTAGCTAGCTTATTACCATTGTTCTTCAGCTCAGTAGCTAAAACCGCACCTCTCTGAGTCTCGAGCTTCTGTCTCCAATCAACACCAGAGTATTTCGTATCAAACTCGTTAAGAGCATTCAAAGTGAGGAACGATTTCTGGTTGTTCAGATCAACAGTGCTCTGTAACTCACATCTAGCAACTAGGTACATACTATCATCAAGCTTCCATCTCCTATACCTATAAGCAATAGAAGCATTCTCCTCACCTTCATTAGCATTAGGGATTGGCTCATCAAAAGTTTCCCTCTTCCCATTCTTCAACAAGACTTGCTGAGCGAAATTCTGGTTGATGAAAGCAGCCTCCACGCCTAGAGAATGAGCGGAATTGATGTCATCTTTGGCTTCAGGCAATGGCTCTTGAGAGGTTTCGTGAACAGATAACAAATCGAGCGCTGACCCATCTCTCTTATCGAAGAAGAGCTTGTTCCCAACACGTTGAATCACAAGATCCCAAGAGTAAACCGATCTAGGAGCACACATGAGAGCAGCGAGAATAGCATCAGTGGCGAAAACAGTTGCTTTGTCCTCTTTAGCGAGACGCCTGATGACAAGATCGTCACTTGTAGTGACTTTGAAGCTCCTGTTCTTGAACCGCTCGAGCCTACGCTCAGCTTTAGGAGTGATACGATCGTAGGTACGATCGTAAGACTCGAGACCACCACAAAGGAGGAGATCTTCTGGCTCCTGAACCGTGAACGAGAGCTTCGAGAAAGTGGAGAAAGGAATCTGCTCGAGCATATTCCACTCCGGCTGAATATCGACCGACGACTTAAACGCGGCGGCTTCACGGCGTTGCTGGTGGATGTTGTTTCGGTTGAGATTGTAGAGACGATCACGACGAGCTCGATCCTTCTCAGCTTCACGTTTCTTCGCTTCGACTTCTTCGTCACGACGCTGAGGGAGCTGGTTCCTGTTGTGATACTGATTGAATCTCCATTTAGGTCCGAATTTAGGACGAGGCGGTGGCTTACCGTCGACCAATCGGAAAGCTGCGTCTTCGTCGGCGTTACCACCGGAATTAGCGAGTCCGAACCCTTCGTCTACTGCGAAAGCGGAGAAATCGAAGACAGCAGATGGATCGGATTTAGATCCGGTAGGAGGACGAGCAGAGGGATTGGAGAGAGCTCGAGTCCAATCAGCGACGCGTCCGAGCTTCTCCGAGCGAGAGAAGGAGGCGAAGGGGACGTTCGGGAGGAGATTCGCCGCCGCGACGCTGGTGGAGGAAGCGGACGAAGAAGTATCGGAAGCGTCTGGAGGACCCCATCCATCGGAATTGAAAGGTACAGTGCCGACTTCGAATGCTTCAAACACCATTGTCGAGATTTGGTTCGAGAGGAAGAGGAAGAAGCCGTGCGAAAAGGAAAACACAATCTTTTTATCTCGTCATCGATTGAAAACCCTAAATTTCGAGATGAAACGACGAGATGGGCTTATGTGTCAAAAAGGATCCTTGGACCTTAAAGCCCAATTATCTGTAACACACCAAATAGTGGTTATCGTAAACCGTAGATTTATAAGTACCACCGGTTTATAATCGGTTGATGCATCATTAGACCGTTGCAGTTGCAGCATTTCAAAATTTTATAAGAAGTGAGTGAATTACCATTTTGTCTCCGTCTCTTTACTTATTTTATTTAGATACAAGTCCTTGAGTTATAATACTTCTTTCAATTATTCCCCATATTTATACTCGGTGGTCACTAAAAATCTATATTCTCTTGTTCAGAGTAAATTCATAAAGTTCCAATTTCTCGGGAATTTTTTTCCCTGATTCTTGAGTTCTTGATTCTTAACAAACACGCTCTAGCGAACCTGAGAATCTGATATCGGAAACATTTGTTTTATATCTCGAGAAATCGTGCGTGAAGAAGATTCTCGATTTTCTCGAGAAAAAATTCGAAGAGGGTTCTTTTCTCTGGCCATGTGGCGTCGCGAGGATCGTCGTGCTCCAGGTGGAGGTTTCTGGACACCACCTCCGACATGGAACATGAAGAAAAGAGTTTACACGGCGATGCCAATTTCGGAGAGAAAGAGAACATCTTCGTCGACAGAGAAGCAAGAACCGTTTCACATGATCCACAAAGTTCCTTCTGGTGATTCCCCTTACGTTAGAGCCAAACATGCCCAGGTAAAATCCGATTCCTGTTGATAATTTAGGGTTTTGGAATCTCTAATTTCCCTGTAATTAGGGTTTGAAGAATCTAATTCCCAGTGACTAATTACTTAGATTCATGAGGCTCTTTGTTTTTTGATCCGTTTATGATCAATCATGAGAAAAACCGAAAATGGAAAGCTTTCTTTTAAAGCATATGTGTATGAATCATCTGTGTTCTGACATGAAACTATCTTCAAGAACAGTTGATATGTAAAGACCCGGACCGAGCAATCTCCTTGTTTTGGGCTGCGATTAATGCTGGAGATCGAGTTGATAGTGCACTCAAGGACATGGCGGTTGTTATGAAACAGCTAGATCGAGCCGATGAAGGAATCGAAGCGATCAAGTCTTTTCGTTATCTCTGCACTTTTGAATCCCAGGATTCCATTGATAACTTGCTACTTGAACTCTACAAGGTAAAAACCAAAACTGAAGCTACTTCTATGGGTCAATAATGTCTCTCTCTATATATAACTTTTGATGGGTTTGGCTTTTCTCAGAAGTCTGGGAGGATTCAAGAGGAAGCTGAGCTGCTTGAACACAAACTGAGATCATTTGAACAAGACGAGCGTTACGGTGGTAGAATCACAATCGCGAAAAGATGCCACGGGAAGCAGATCAACATGACGATCGAGCAAGAGAAAGCACGGTAAGAAAGTTTCTCTGAGTTTCCCGCTTTGTACAGTTTCTCTGAGTTTCTTGATGTTTTAGATGTGTATATAGGATTCTAGGGAACTTGGCTTGGGTTCATTTACAGCTTCATAACTATGGAATCGCAGAGCAACATTACAGGTTGGTGAAAACATTATCGATAAAGCATATCAGTGGTTTTTCATTGCCTTAAACAAGTTTTTTTCTGTGACAGAGACGCTTTGTGTTTGGAGCCTGACAATAACAAGCAGTGCAATCTTGCGATCTGCTTGATGCGTATGGACAGGATCCAAGAAGCTAAATCTCTGCTTGAGGATGTAAGGAAGTCTCTAGGTGATTCATGGGAAGACGAACCGTTTTACAAGTCGTTTGAACGTGCTAACGAGATGATAGCGGAAAGAGAACAAGCCACATTAGCGGATAAATCAGAAATGAGAAGTAGCTCTTCAGATAACTTCTCTCCGAGCACTTCTTTCGCGAGTTGGATGAAGGAGAAGCAGACTGGTCCTGAGCCAGGAAACAAGAAGGACTCGCACGACTCGCATGTCTCCATTGGATCGGTGAACTCGCCGGTTCTGATTACACAACCCCGGGAGTGTAAATTGGGAGATGATGATGAGGAAGAAGATCATTGGAAAGGGCAAGTGACAATTGGTGCTGCTCGAAGGCTAAGGTTCGGGAACACTTTCGAAGTCAAACATTGTGACAACAAGAATGTGGAATCAACAGAGTCGGCTAATAATGCACTTTGCATTACAATCAAAGCAAGGAAGATGTGTGCAGATTTATTGAAAGAGAAACAAGATTCTGAAAAAGGTTATCAAACGAATGCTTCAGGATCATCTTCAGCTTACGCTCAGATCATGGATATATCTCAAAGAACCGCATAGGCTTTGACACTAGAGTATTATTACTAAAAGGATTTGTATATTTTAGAAAATTGTAGAAATGAGTTCGTGTATTGTAGATATGAAAGACCAAAAAACTTGAAAGAACAAAAGCAACATTTTTTTTTCACTGACAAAAACAATAAGCAATACACGCAAAAGTTTCAACACTCGAGAACGAATTTGGGTTTTCAACACACATGAAACGGAGAAAACAAAAAAAAAGGGATTTTAAGAAGGAAAAAAAAAAACGAGGGAAAGAAGAAAGTGACTGCAGCTTACACAGTTTTACGAATCAGACGAAACCATTGACGACGACGACATCATCTCTTCAAGCCTCATCGTACTCTTCTTCTTCCTCGTACTCCTCTTCACCAGCTGTAGCATCCTGGTACTGCTGATACTCTGCAACGAGATCATTCATGTTACTCTCTGCTTCAGTGAACTCCATTTCGTCCATTCCTTCTCCAGTGTACCAATGAAGGAAAGCCTTTCTCCTGAACATAGCTGTGAACTGTTCGCTCACACGCCTAAACATCTCCTGGATCGAAGTCGAGTTCCCGATGAAAGTAGATGCCATTTTCAAACCCTTTGGCGCGATATCACAGACGCTTGATTTGACGTTGTTCGGGATCCATTCAACGAAGTAGGACGAGTTTTTGTTCTGGATGTTCATCATCTGCTCATCGACCTCTTTGGTGCTCAGCTTTCCACGGAACACGGCGGATGCGGTCAAGTAACGTCCGTGACGAGGGTCAGCAGCGCACATCATGTTCTTTGCATCCCACATCTGCTGGGTCAGTTCAGGGACACTCAAGGCACTGTATTGTTGTGACCCTCTTGATGTCAATGGAGCGAAACCAACCATGAAGAAGTGGAGCCTTGGGAATGGGATCAGGTTCACGGCGAGCTTCCTAAGGTCGGAGTTTAGTTGACCAGGGAATCGGAGACAGCAAGTGACACCACTCATTGTAGCAGAGATGAGATGGTTAAGGTCACCAACTAATCAAGCACAAAAAATAAAGAAAACAAGTCAGGACAATATTTGTTTGATTCATGAAACGAGACAATAGAGGAGTTTTTACTCACATGTAGGATTAGCAAGCTTCAGGGTACGGAAGCAGATATCGTAGAGAGCTTCATTGTCAAGAACCATACATTCGTCAGCGTTCTCGACAAGCTGGTGCACAGAGAGTGTTGCGTTGTATGGCTCAACAACAGTGTCAGAGACCTTTGGAGAAGGAAACACTGAGAAGGTCATCATCATACGATCTGGATACTCCTCTCTGATCTTGGAAATGAGAAGAGTTCCCATTCCAGATCCAGTTCCTCCACCCAAAGAGTGACAAACTTGGAAACCTATAACAAGAGTTAAAACCATGAAAATCAGAGAAGTTAATCGCCATCACCAATCTGTAGAATGTAAAACAACGAAGACCTAAATCGATTTTGACTATTTCAGGTTCCACGATTGCAAAGCAAAAATCAAAGACTATCTCTCGTAAAACTCGAATACAATTCAAAAAACCAGATCGAGATTCAAAACCAAAAACAATACGAGAAGAAGAAGGAAAATGCGATCTCTCTCTAACCTTGTAGACAATCGCTGTTCTCAGCTTCCTTCCTCACAACATCAAGCACGGAATCAATCAACTCGGCTCCCTCCGTGTAATGACCTTTGGCCCAGTTATTCCCGGCGCCGGACTGCCCAAAGACGAAGTTATCGGGACGGAAAATCTGACCAAACGGTCCAGATCTGAGAGAATCCATGGTCCCTGGCTCCAGATCCATAAGAACGGCGCGTGGAACGTACTTCCCGCCGCTCGCTTCGTTGAAATACACATCGATACGCTCAAGCTGGAGAGGAGAGTCGCCGACGTACTGGCCGGTGTGATCAATGCCGTGCTCGTCGCAGATCACTTCCCAGAACTTTGCACCGATCTGGTTTCCACATTGACCGCCTTGGATATGGAGGATTTCTCTCATTTTTTCTCTCCTTCGTGTTGTTTCTTAGGGAAAAAGAAAAAAAAATGAGAAAATGGGCGACTCGTCTTTTATTTTTGTCCTTTGCTCAATAGGTTTAAAGGGGAAAGAGATTGTTGGAATGGGGTAATAATCAGCTATATATAGTTTACGTCTTCTTCAATAAGTTTTTTCTCGATATTTATTTTCACGTATGCCCTTGTACTTTATTTGATCTTGGAATAATACCCGAATTGTTTTTTATATATCGTTTTCGTACTCTGTGCTGTATGACAGCGGAGGATTTCAAATTATTTCTGTCCCACTTGTCCAGAGATATTTTGCTATTTTAGCATTAAAAACAAAAAATATAGATAGAAAATTTGGTTTTTCCTCAATAATAAATTGTATTGTTGTGTTATGTACATTGATTCGATAAATTGAATTATGTATTGAATGGGAAGATTAGATCCAAGATACAATTATTATACAAACAATTGAATATTTTAATTTATACACTCCAATCTGTTTGGGTATATGATCTGCCGAACCGGTTTTTGTTGTTTTTTGTTTTACGATAACCGGTTTTGTTTTATTTTATGGGATACAAGTAAGACAAATTAACAATATGCATTATCATATCAAAACAACTAAACAAGGTCGACTGTGCAAGACAGATCATACAGGAGTGGTGTATTGAAAACACATGAAAGTGTTTAATGAAAATTATTCTCAAATTTGTAAGCCGTGTTTTAATATTAGTGTTTTATCAGGAATTTAAGCCCCCTATATATAAAAATTACACCATGTGATACCTTTTTGTTGGGTTTAGGGGACCATCTGTTATTTGAAATTATTTATAAGAAAGACTGTGATATTAACATTTAATCATTTATAAACTTAAATAAATCATATTATAGAAATATATTTATAATAATGTAATAATTAATCTATTATGGGCCAAAATTGGGGAATAAGTTAGGCTAGTGGCACCCTCTAATATGCTTCAAGCCCACCTTGTCTGGGGTTCCTAGGAAGTAGGATCCTTTATAACTATGCTTATGACCCAAAGTTGTAAAGAAAATAATAGAAAGATTTTGACCAAAAATACATAATACACCGAGCCAGTTAGCCAATTATAAACCCACAATTTCTCTAATTTTACATCTCCACAAATAAATTGTGTGCATCCACATAAACATTGTGTGCATAATTGCCTCCTTTTATTCTGAGGGTGCAGAAATTATAGATCATTCCCACAACAACAAAAAGAAGCAATTATCATTCCCACAACGACAAAAAGAAGCAATTATATGCACACAATGTCTTTTACTGGTATAAGAATGCTAAGGTGGAAACTTGAAAATTTTGTGCTGAACCCTTAAGTTATATCAATTTGCGATATGTCCTTTTATAATTTCACAAGATTAATACATCAGTTTACACCATTTCTAACCCATACATGACACATGTACATTTTCAGCAATGTAATTGATCAGTAACAAAAACTACAATTTACAGGCACATGCCAACCCACAAAAATTACTTATTGTAGATTCAAATCAATGAGATTAGAGTAACTAGTATAGCTAATCAAATCATACCTTAATTAGTCCATATTGCAAAGACTTTATTTCCATTTCATAAAAATTAAAGTTTTAGAAAAACTAATATGCTTTTCCATTTCTCTCTTTCCGTCTTTTTGCCAATTACTCATCATTTAGCTCGTGTTTTAAAATCACTAAAAAATAAAAAAGAAAAAGCGATCTCTCGCCTTCACTTTCTACGCAATAACCTCCTCCTTCACTCCATGTTATATTAATCGCTTCGACCTGTCAACAAAATTTCATCAATCTCTTCCACAAAACCCAAAACCGAACTCTTCACTAGGAAGACTAAAGAGAGCTCTAAAAGTCTTTCCTATTAATTTTTTTTTTTCCTTTTTGGGTTTGTCTCGTCCGTACACATAGCCATGTCTCTACCATGGAAAAAATCAGGACGAATATCGAGATTCATGTCGGAATTTCAGCAATCTCCGAAACGCGGCGGGTCTTTGGTCGTCGAAACTGGCTTCCCGACTTCTCTAATTGATCTCTTCGTCAAAAATCGCGATCGTCTTAAGAAATCCTCCTCTAATAATAAACGCCTCAAACGCCAGACCCAAACCGCCCCAAACGCTTCGTTGCCGATTAATCCTGACGCGATTCTGGAAAAGCCCGTTGCGAGGAAAACCGTTCGGAGTAAGACCGATGAAGTTAATTTCATCGGCGGTGGATTAACGGCGGAGAAAAACGGTTGCGTTTGTGGTGGCAGCGCGTTTGTTTTGATCGCGTTTAAAGTTTTCATAGTGGCGGCGTTCGCGTTTAGCACGAAGAAGAAGCTCACTATAGGAATCACTCTCTCCGCCTTGGCGCTTCTCTTAACAGAGCTCGTGGTGGCGCGTGTTCTCACGCGCTTCACGCACTGTGACACCGACGCGCGGAAAGGAAAGCCAGCTGTCTCAATCAACGACGAAAACGCGATTTCCTGCGGAAAAATCGCAGCTTTGGATGTTTCGAGTGATCACTGCGGAGAAGAAACTCAAGTTCCCAAATCGCATAAAACAGAGCCTGTGGCTGAATCGAAAGATTTAAAGATTCGTGATCTGTTGATGAAGGATCATGAGAAGTCGAAAAGTAAAAGTTCGAGACTGAAATCGAAGATTGTGAAGAAGTTGAGGAGTTACAGGAAGAAGAAGAAAACGGTTGTGATCAAAGAAGAGACTTTGAGTGAAGTCTCAAGCTTTGTTGTTTCAGAGGATAAAACAGAGATAACCGAGCCAGCTGAAAGAGACGAAGAAGGGTTAAATCCGCCATTGATAGAATCGAAAGGAGATAACACGAATGGGATTGTTCTGATCGTGATTGTGCTTACTGGTCTGTTAAGTGGAAAGATCTTAGCTATTGGTCTGACATTATCCAGTCTGTTTCTCAGATTCGGAGCAGCCAAAAACTCTGGTCTTTGCATATAATTTTTTTTTTTTTTTTATGTTCGTATAAAACTTAGGAGAATAGGTCTTACTTATGTTGTAGAGATTACCATCAGATTGTTAATTTGGGTTTACGTTTAAATTTGGAATAATATTTTTTCCAAGTGAATCACAATCTAAGTATTTTCAACAGTATTTTGGTTAATCGTTAACGTAAATTTAAAGGCAAATGAAATAATATGTTTGCGTTTGGCGCGCTTATGTTTATGTTTTGCAAAATTAGGTAATTTATGTTTTAAAACCCAACAAGTGCTTTATATTTCAAACTAAATTATGTTTTAAAAAAACAATCATATAAAGTTATAAACACAAATGCTCATAATGGACAAAACGGGTTCAAGTGTTGCTATGGAAAATATACTAACACGTAAAGAAATTAGGCAATTAATCTGTTAGTATTATTTTAGAAGTGCTTGTAGTTGGTAAGTGAAAGCCAATTAGGTTTCACTTTAGCTAAAGAATTAGCACTAGAATGTGATAAAAGTGATGGTCGGTTTATGTGGAAATATTAACATGATGATATGGCAATTTTACTTATGTGAAAATATAACGTGGCAATTTTATCGGAAAAATGTCTGTCAGCCAATGACGATGGAAAATGGTTTAGGTTAAGCTCGTGTTGAAGTCTTGAGATTTTACTTGATTGGAAACCAAAGTTTTAGTGCTGTGGTAAGTGTAAAGTTTTAATGATTATTTCAAATCTGATTTGGTAAGAGATGGGTTTTTTGGTTGTTGATGATATTTTAAGAATTTGAATGATAAAATGTGATGATAAAACTTATAGTTTGGTCAAATATCAATCAAATTCTGAGTATTACACTTGGAATAGTTAATTTTATTTTATGTAGTGTCATAATATATGTTTAATCGTTCATTTACAAATATGATGATTATAAATAAAATATAGTAGATAGTGAAATCATCTTTATAAGGTGAAAACAAGATGATTGTTGTGAATAATATTAGACAAAGAAATCAAATCATGCTTTTGGAAAAGGTGAATGTGTGTTTCCGGTAAAGCTTAAATAAAAAAAATGAAATGCGACTAAATAAGTGTCGGATAAAGAGTGTATTTGGTTTTGATTCGATAGATCTTTACCTAATTAAAAATAACTTAGTAGCAAAGCCTCCATTGTTGGTTTTTTGCAATGTTTTTAAACTCGATCCAGACCTGCGGTTGGACTTCTATATTTGGTGATCCGTCATAAAATCTGGTTTGGGTTTAATGCTAATATCCATTGCATCAAAATCCACTAAAATCTGGCAAAAATCTGATAAATTCGTAATCTAACTAGTGTTCGAACCAGTGAGTCACAGTTTAAAAAATATTTTTTAAATTTTTTTAACAAGTTTGATTTTAAAGACCTTTATATCAAATAAAATATTTTATTGTGGTTTTCTAATATTAAAAGTTTTAATTTTTTTTGTTATATATAATATTAACTAAAAAATATAATTTGTGATTATCTAGATTTTGATGAAGATTTCATTATGCTGCGTACAGAAACCGAAGAAAATGGTGATAGAGACAACACAGATTCGTTGAGATGATATTTAATTAGTTCGCTTTCATTCTTAGTAATATTTTTTTTTTTGGATTAACTTCATAATTATCGTTATTTATGTTAATTAGACTTTATGATTATCGTTATTAATGTTAGATATCTACATACCTATTAGACTATTAATCTTCAACTTGTTTTTATTTTCATTTTTAGTGTTAATTTATCACAAAATATTTTGTGAATTTGTGCTAAATGATTATCATATTATATATATATATATATTCACTCGCGGTTAAGCTACGGTTGATTTGCTGACCCGCTGACCCGAAATGTATTCTGGTTTACTGTCCGGATAGGTTTAAAAACATTGGCTTTTTTTTTGTTTTGTTGGTTTTTTTTTTTGTTTTTGCATATCATGCTTACCACTAAGTTTTTAGTCATGCCAAATTTATTAGATCTTTTTATCAAAAAAAATGGAAATATCTTCTATATCTTTAAAAATACAAGACGTGTTCATTTTAACTCTAACTTAAACGGTACTTAGCATCAAAAAGACAAAAATTTAGATTTGTACTACACGAGTGTACATTTAGTACTATATCTTTACATAGAGTTTAATATCAGGGTCTTTAAAAAGATATTTACGTGATGCTTTTTTATAAAAAAATCTTCGATTTCAAAATTGTCTAAAATAGAAAATTATATAAGTGCTGCATTCGCATAAGATATTTTCTATGTTTTTGGCCGGTTGAACAAAAGCAAATATAACAATATAAAAACTTCTTCTAAACAATGGTTGACAATAGAATCAAGATTTTAAGATGTAGAAAAACTTCTTCTAACCAATGGTTGACGATAGAATCTAAAGATGTAGAAAAACTTGTTCTAACCAATGGTTGACGATAGAATCAAGATTTAAAGATGTGTTTAATCTACTTAGCTTTGTAAAACTAAGATGGATCTAAGTTTTGAAATGTTGTCTCGTTCGTCTATATATGATTATATTGTCATAATGCTTTCCGAGTTAATCGGTTTTTTGAGTTAAATCGATAAACAATTCATGAGATCGATAATCTTGTTTTGTGATTTGAAAATTCTGGTTAAGATTGTTTTGACTTTTTGATGAAAACTGATTATGGACAGAATCACTTGCTCCAAAAAGTAAAAACGTGATACTCGATTTATACTAGTTAGCGTTAGGATTAATGATAAAACTAGGAAAATTAGCTTTTTCATCCCTAGACTTCTGAGAAATGTTAAACTTATGTTTAAACTATTTTTTTGGCTAAAACATACTTAAACATCATTTTAATTTTATTCATACTTGATCAATTAAATATGTGCTAAAACAAATTTTCATCCGTAATCTGTTTATGATCCATCAAATCAAATCAAGTATACATGGCAGCCACGTAGGATACAACGTCATTTTGTTCTTCTGAAAGTTTTGAAAAAAAATAACAAAACGACGTCGTTTTGTTATGGAGAAAAAGATATTGGTTTAAGGATTTCAAATAATTTTAGTTTTGTGTTTATTCAACTCCTTGACATTGGTTTACTATACATCGGTTCTGTGTTTCTTCAATCCCTTGACCCTCGACAGCTACATTGTTGATCTAGGGGTTTCAAATAATTTTGAATCTACCGAGAGTGTGTCTTCCTCGAGTAATTCAGGTTAGTTATTGTTGATAAGGAAAATTACTCTCCATCACCGATTTCAGAAATAAACAAACATGTACTACTTAAAATAGCTGAAAATCAACAATAACTAACCTGAATTACTTGAGGAAGACATCACTCTCGGTGGACTCGAAATTATTTGAAACCAATGTTTAGTAAACCAATGTCGAGGAGTTGAATAAACACAGAATCAAAATTATTTAAAATCCTTAAAACGATATTTTTTTCTCCATAACAAAACGACGTCGTTTTGTCAAATTTTTTTAAACTTTCGGAGTCTACATGGCTGCCAAGTATACTCGATTTGACAGATTATTAACAGATTACAGATGGAAATTGGTTTTAGCACATATTTAATTGATCAAGTATGAAATTCAAATTAAAATGATGTTTAAGTATATTTTAGCCAAAAAATAGTTTAGGCATAAGTTTAACATTTTTCGGAAGTCTAGGGATGAAAAAGCTAAATTTCCGATAAAACTAAGTCAAAAGACGAATAAGTTAAACCAATTATAGCTCATGCGTGAATGTGAATTTTGTCCGACGTGATTTAAAAATATTGATCAATGCATGTCTAATAAAGTAGCCACGCTTAATTTGTTCTTTTACTATACATCTTTCGTCCAATAAAACGACCAGGATAAATTGAGTATTTAAGATTCCTATACACTTAATAGTTTTAACAATGATCATAAAGATGGGTTTAACGCGGGTAACAAATATATTGAATAAAACACATCGAAACCGATTGTTTATAAATCAATTCGGTTTGGTTTGACTCCAACCCCGGCTAAATTATATACAAAAACTCGTTTCAGAATATTTAGAAGTTTTTTTCTTCTTTCTATGGTTTCTTGATAAGTTAATTAATAAATAAGAAAAAAATCAAACCAGAAAAGAAGGAACAAGATTTTGGAAGTAAAGATACAAGTCATAACCATGCCAAGATTTAAGAAATATCTTAAGAAAAGTACTACGATAATACTTTTAAAATGAAATGTTTTAAAAAACCAGAAAAAGATTGATTCCCTTAATTTTAAAACGATTATCATCTATCACCATATAACATGAACATAGACAGTAAGATCACACTAAAACACATGAGGATAATAACAACATGATAATACAATATTATACCAATATCTATAGAGCCATAACCCATACCGCCATACGTGCCATAACAAGAGCTAAAACAAACATTGGTTCTTGTCTAAGAATCAATCTTACACAATCAAAGGAGGAACACTCTGCTCATTTCTGAAGAAATTGGTGGGATCAATCTTCCCCTTAACCATAGCCAATCTCTTGAAATTAGTTCCAAAATACCTCATCCCCCATAATGTTGCATCCTCAAAGCTACTATTAATCCCTTTATTTATACCCAAATCAAGATCTCTATAATTCAAATAAGCTCCTCTTGGTGATCCAGAGACATAAACTCTCATATATCTATAAAGCAATCTCATCCATCTCACATGTTTCTTCATCTCTTCCATCTCCTTCACTCTCCATTTCACCATGTACTGAATATTATACAGATTCCCTCTTCTATGTGGAAACGGAGTCTCTGTTTCACCAATCTCATGCATTTTACCACCTAATGGCTCCATTATCATGACCGGAGATTCAACCTCGTGAAATCTCTTCCATATACCTTCTAGACCGGTTTCAGGAATTGGGTTCTTGACAAAATCAGATTTTGCTTTGAAATAAAGATCATTATATCTCTGTTCTCTGTCGAGAAGAGTCTCTAGTGGCTGTCCTTTCTTCCAGTTGAAGTACATTATCGAATCAATCCACCTCATTTCTGAACAGTCTTGAAACACTAGCCCTAATTCTGGAAACTTCTGATTCATCAGAGGAATCAATTTATCGGATCCTCCAAGATAATTTGCTTGGAATGTAGCTTGAACAGA